GTGTGTGTGTGTGTGTGTGTCTGTGTGTGTGTGTGTGTGTGTGTGTGTGTGTGTGTGTGTGTGTGTGTGTGTGAGATATGAGATTGTGCACCTGGAAACTGTCTGTTCACAGCAAAAAACCTGGTCTCCAGCAGACAGCCTGCATGATTTCTGTGATAAATCAATCAGATTACTTTTTCACGTAACTAGTAAAGTAATGGTGCATTACTTTTAAATTTACAGCAAAATATCTGAGTTACTTTTTCAAATAAGTAATGCAAGTTACTCTGTTTTTCCATTGATCGACTGACATTTCTCCTGTCACCACTCCGAGAGAAACAGAGGCGCTTCCTTCATCCTGAGGTTTATTCGTTTCACTTTGGGTGTGAGAGGGCCTTAACAGTTGCCAAAAATATAACTTTTGGGGTTTTTGTTATTAAAAATAGATAAACAATCCCCAGCCCAGGTGACAAAAAGTAATGCAAAAGTAAAGTAATGCATTACCTTCCGTAAACTAAGTAACGCAATTAGTTGCTTTATGGACTAACACTGCAATGCATTACTTTTAAAAGTAACTTTCCCCAACACTGGCGACTGTGTGAGTGAATTTGACTAATTTAACACATTTTGAAAGTGTACTGCAGTATGTAGCAGCTGTCTGTGAAGGTCTCTGGTTCTCATGCGGTCGTTCTGCAGCCAAACGCTAAAGACAAGCTTGGTTTTCCAGAGGTCGTGTAGTGATGTTAAATATGGGGTGATTTTACAGCGCTGCACACGAGAGCAAACTCAACATTCAGCAAGAAAAGCAAAATGAAAAAGCTCTAATTATAGTGGTTTGCTTTCTGTTCTGTCATTCATGTTTGGAGGAGCGGCCGTCTTTTATGTCTGTTTCAGACGTTGAACTGTTTTCAGATGATGTCTCTGTCCTCAGGGTGGCCACAGATCATAATTCAGACAACACCAGCGCGATCCTGCGCGAATGGCTGATAAACGTCCAGCACTTCTATCATTATGTGGAGTGGAGACCTCAGGAGGAGCCCAGGTGAGACGGACCCTAAACTGCATCTGAACCCAAAGCTGAACACAAACTAGAGATTCACACACACACACACACACACACACACGTTTTCTCTGATGCGATCAGTGTCTGCGCTATTTTTAGTAGATATCAATATTCTACCGACCTCAAAATATACTGAATTGTTTATTTTATTTTAAATTATTTATTTTTCCTTACATCTTAAAAATGTCTGACTTAACTCTTATTGTATAATTATTTTCAAAAGTTTTTAAATACATTTTTCAATGTAATACATTATATATATATATATACATATATATACATATATATATATATATATATCACTAGCCTTATTTTTTAGTGTTATATTCTATTATAGTTTTTGTTAATATTTTGAATTTTATTTGTATTTTTATAGTTTCTGCGTTTTATGTCTATATAGTTTTTTTTCAGTTTTAGTTATTTTACCAACTGAAAATAAGAAATGTTGCTTTGAAAACATTTACTTTTTTTCTGTTTTATTTCTATTAACATTTATATTAAGTAGCAAAAAGAATTTTTATGGTTTTAATTTGAGGTAATTGTAATAAATCAGATAGATAGATAGATAGATAGATAGCCAACAAATATCATGGATCATGTTTGTAGGGAAGTCACACCACATGGTATTTTATTTAGCGCATTTAAGTCATTTTATGTATCAATTGTATTTTAATGTTTAAATTTAATTTGAATTAATTGGTAGGACAAAGAAAATCAGTCCATCACACTAAAGATTGACCTCGGACTGTGTCTGACAGGTTTGTGTCTCATGCATGTATTTGTCTGTGTGTTTCTCAGCGTCTACGAGGACGAGAGCGGCCCGAAGCACTGGACGAGCCTGCGGTACGAGCACGTGATGAAGCTGCGTCAGGCGGCCCTCGACACGGCGCGGGAGATGTGGGCCGACTACCTTCTGGTACATGGTCTGAGACGAGTCTCTTTACCCTTCACTGAACTGAGGCCCGTCTGAAGTTAGCAGTGCTGTTCAGTGTTATAGAGTGATTCCTGCTGCTCTGTGATCAGCTCTGTTCCTCAGTCCTCTGTCCAGCAGACGGTTTTGTGTGTGCTCTAGTCGAAGTACTCTGTACCATTACACGATTGCACACACTCTCCGCTGGGGAGGAATCAAAACCACTGCCGTGTATGACAGTTAAACATCTTTTCTGGGCAACCACATTGAGTTTTATCTTTGGTAAGCGACATCAATTAAATACGGGTTTTTTCTAGGCATCTCATGATTCAAACTGCACTGAAAAAATTGTGTAATTTAATTTTACTCAGACATAGCTTGTAAATTTCACTAATGATTATAAAGAAGCAAAACGACTGAAATAGTATTTTCTTATAAAGCGTTCTCCAATAATTAAATTCAATTCAAGTTTATTTATATAGCGCTTTTCACGATACAAATTGTTGCAAAGTAGCTTTAGAGAGAATTAAGTTTCTACAATATATTTAGTAGTAGCTTGTCAGTGGTGACTGTGTCAAATTGATGTACATATGGTGAAGTAATGTGGAGTGTCTTTGAGATGATCAGTGAAACAAACATGACTGACTCTGTTTGCAGATGGTGGACTGTGATAACCTGCTGACCAACCGGGATGTTTTATGGAAGCTGATGCGGGAGAATAAGACGATGGTGGCGCCGATGCTGGAGTCCAGAGCGGCGTACTCAAACTTCTGGTGCGGCATGACGTCTCAGGTGTGTCTCGTCCTGTCACAGCGCCTGGCAGCTCTTTATTCATTCAGACTTCATCATTTCTCAAATGTGCTCTTTAGTTTTTATCATCTTTATTCTTAGTCAGGGTTTAGTCAATGAAAACAGTCTTATCTTAGCTTTTGCGCAAAATTATAATCACGATTGTTGTCATTAGAGAAATGTCTTTTTATGTTTCATCTCAATTATTGCACTTTGACATGAAGCGACAAATGTTTGGATTTATTACAGTTTGTCACTGAGAAGGTTTGCTCACAGATTTAATGGCAGCAAACCGCCTCGTGAAGGAACACAGACTGCCTTTAGCAGACTATCGCAATGAAGATCGTCAAACTCCAACATACAAGTTTTCTGGTGTTTTCAGATCATCAGCACCTTTTTCTCAGAGAGATCGTTGCCAGATTGAGAATATTATGGTTGCCAGATCAGGAATATTAAATAAAACAATCGTTGCCAGATTGGGAATATTATGGTTGCCAGATCAGGAATATTAAGTAAAACAATCGTTGCCAGATTGGGAATATTATGGTTGCCAGATTGGGAATATTAAGTAAAACAATCGTTGCCAGATTGGGAATATTATGGTTGCCAGATCAGGAATATTAAGTAAAACAATTGTTGCCAGATCAGGAATATTAAGTAAAACAATCGTTGCCAGATTGGGAATATTAAGTAAAACAATCGTTGCCAGATTGGGAATATTAAGTGAAACAAAGGGCAGAAAATTAGTCATTTTAAAAGAAAAGCTTTGATTGGGGGATTTAAGATCTTGACATCTGGCAACCGCAAACAGGCTTGTTAAAGAATAATTATATAGTATATATATTTTGTTTTAATAATTTATTTATAATTAACTTTTATAATTATAAATACTTTAGTTTCACCTTTTTTTGTCAACGATATTGCAAGTTTATATTATCAGAGTCATTGATTGTCGTTCCTCCGTGTCTTTATCGTTATAGCTGTGGTTAAATTTAGAATGATTTTTAATCTATCTTTATTGTTATGGTTATAGATCTTGTTCTTGGTGTGAACGGGCCTTCAGTCATGGGAAAAAAGTTAACGAGCGAGTTTTGGTTAAGGAGTGAGCGTGTGTTTGCAGGGTTATTATAAGCGGACGCCGGCCTACATGCCCATCCGCAGGCAGGAGAGGAAGGGCTGCTTCGCCGTCCCCATGCTCCACTCCACCGTCCTGCTGGACCTGAGGAAGGAGGCGACCCGTGAGCTGGCCTTCTTCCCGCCTCATCCCGACTACAGCTGGGCCTTCGACGACATCATCATCTTCGCCTTCTCCGCGCGGATGGCAGGTGCGTCTCAGATCGAGGAGACTGCATTCGGTTATCATGTCCACTGCTTTTGCGTGAATCTTAACATGGTTTCCCGCAGAGGTTCAGATGTACATCTGCAACAGAGAGACTTATGGGTATCTCCCCGTGCCCCTGCGCTCCCATAATACCTTGCAGGACGAGGCGGACAGTTTTCTGCACTCGCTGCTGGAGGTTATGGGTGAGTCACATGACTGGTCACATGTTTTCTGCTTAAATGTCCTTCATGGTTCTGAATGTGTTTTGTCTGCAGTGCGCAGTCCTCCATCAGAGCCGTCTGTGTATCTCTCTCTTCCTCCTAAACAGCCGGATAAAATGGGCTTCGATGAGGTCAGGATGTCACATTATTTTATTTTGCTTTATAGTATTTTTATTATACTTCATTCTTTTTATATTGAATATTTTATCATTTTATATTGTATAATTTTTTATATTTTTTTATTTTGTTTTTTAATAAAATAGTATAATATAAAACAGTGTAATATAGCATTTTACATTAAATATTTATTAAACTTTAAATATTTTATTAACTAATATTAAACATTAAATATTTATTTGCTTTTGTTTTATTTCATTTTATAATATAATTGTAATACATTTATATTTATTTTGTATTTTTATTTTATATTATTTCTGTATTTTTATATTGTATATTTTATGTAAGGTGATGTATTTTTTATGTCATATTACATAATTTTATGAAATGTTATAAAATATTGTAATGATTAAAGAGTTTTTTATATAATTTTATTATTGACGTTGTGTATTATCATATTATTAATACATTACATATATGATTAATTTTCATATTATTTTATAAAGCCGTATAATATATTATTATTATTATATCTTCATCAGTCGTATGGTGTGTGTGTCCAGGTGTTTATGATAAACCTGCTGAGGCGTTCGGACCGCAGAGAGCGTATGCTGAGGACTCTGTACGAACAAGAGATCGCGTGCAAGATCATCTCAGCTGTAGATGGCAAGTACGTCTCAAACACACACAAACAGATCGCATTCACATGCAAACATGAGCTTCCTATAATCCTGTCTGTCTCACCTGTCGCATACAGACCGTCTGACCCATATGTGTGTGTGTGTGTGTGTGTGTGTGTGTGTGTGTGTGTGTGTGTGTGTGTGTGTGTGTGTGTGTGTGTGTGTGTGTGTGTGTGTGTGTGTGTGTGTGTGTGTGTGTGTGTGTGTGTGTGTGTATGTGTATGTGTATGTGTATGTGTATGTGTATGTGTATGTGTATGTGTATGTGTATGTGTATGTGTGTGTGTGTGTGTGTGTTTGTGTGTGTGTGTTTCAGGGCGCTGAACACCAGTCAGATCGAGGAGCTCGGGATCCAGATGATGCCCGGATACAGCGACCCGTATCATGGCCGGCCGCTCACTAAAGGAGAGCTGGGCTGCTTTCTGTCGCACTTCAACATCTGGACAGAGGTGAGAGAGAGAGAGAGAGAGAGAGAGAGGGAGGGGGAGGGAGAGAGAGAGATGAAGTGTTTTACTAAATACCACAGCAAAAACTAATCATTCTGTCTATATTCCTTTATTTAAAATGTAAATATTATTTAACTGAAACAGTGTTGCCTTCAAGTGTTTCTCAAGAGAGAGAGAGGGAGAGAGAGGGAGAGAGAGGGAGAGGGAGAGAGAGAGAGAGAGAGAGAGAGGGAGAGAGAGGGAGAGAGAGAGATGAAGTGTTTTACTAAATACCACAGCAAAAACTAATCATTCTGTCTATATTCCTTTATTTAAAATGTAAATATTATTTAACTGAAACAGTGTTGCCTTCAAGTGTTTCTCAATTGGCTCACTTCAAGCGGCGGGACCTGCGAGCGTTTTCGGCCGAGCCGCTGCTGGTTTACCCCACGCACTACACGGGCGACGCGGGCTACATCAGCGACACGGAGACCTCCAGCGTCTGGGACAACGAGACGGTCCGCACCGACTGGGACCGAGCACGATCACGCAAGAGCCGCGAGCAGGAGGAGCTCAGCAGCGAGGCGCAGAACTCAGACGTGCTGCAGTCTCCGCTGGACAGCACGGCCCGCGACGAGCTCTAGCAGCCGAAAACACCCGAACACAGCGGAGAAACCCTCACAATCACAGCCACCAAAGCTGAGGAGGGTCAGAACTGAGAGGAGCGGCCGCTTCATCAGACCTCACACAGCCGTCAGATTCACTTCACGAGGCACTTCAGATGAGATGGACACCTGTGATCTTCCTGAAATGCTTGAGCGGATGCAGGAACAGTAAATATGACACAAGTTAGATTTTATTTGTATGAATGATAATCTATCTCAAGGACAATCGAGATGATCTGACATGATTGACATGTTCACACTAACAACCTCTATAGAGATGGTTTGGTTTTTGATAGTTTTAACCTGATCTGATGGGTCTAGTAGATGAACGCTTGTCTGTGGTCCTGATCCTTTGCGCTTTATTAAAATTGATGTGATTTTTATCATTTCATTCCTTTATTATTTCACTTTGAACATGATGTAAGTGAGTGTTGACTTTTACTTTGTACGTAAAGCTGTTGTTATGCGTCCCAGATTCACCCGGTTCAGACTACACGATTTTAGCCCGATTTTGGCCCGATTTGCTTGACGTAGGGTGTCGTGGGTATTCGTTAACGTCAATGGGTGTCGGGACGCAAGATTCCATCGTTTCAGCTCGTGTAGTGTGTCATAGTGGACGACAACTGATTCCGTGTCTGCGATGCTTCACGACATCACGACAGAAAGACTAGCACGTTAAATTTTTTTTCCGAGTACTGTCACATTGGTGACTGTAACAACGTTCGTAGGTCGGGAAGAAGGAGGCGGGAACCGGCGAACATTTGAACAAAACTTTAATAATAAAATAAACACAAAATAGCGCGACAGCCCCTCGCGGACGACTGTTGCGCACAAACAGAACCAAAACACGAAATAAAATCCAGGCCTGGTCCTCTCTCGTCCAACACTGTCGTCACTCCTCCTTCTATCTTTCCGGAGCTCCTCCGTGGGACTCGAGACCGACCGGCCGACTGGCCTCGCTCCGTTCCGACCAATAGCAGCACAGAAGCTCTTTCATACACAGGTTTCAAACATGGCGAAACGAAAGAGAGATGATGGTGGAATTATGAGATGGAGGAAAGGTTGGTGGAGCTGTGGCAACAGTACTCCTTTCTGTATGATGTGTCATCGAGGGACTACCACGACAGAACAAAGAAAGAACAATGTTGGCGAACGATAGCGGAAGCGCTTCAGCAATGTTTACACTCTTGTTTTCGGAAGTCAGTCGCTAGTTCCGCCTTGTCGATGTTTGGGAAGCAACCTGTAGTCTGACATGTTTCTTGTCCACGACACGACAAGATTTTAGGAGTCAAAATCGTGAAATCTGACACAGTGACTATCGTGACCGACAAAAATATTGTGTAGTCTGAACCCGGCATTAAGGTTAGGATGAGATCGGCATGTTTTTATCTGATGGTTTGCTTGCAGATGACTAATTTATTGCTCGTTCAGCTTGTTCTTGGTCCTCGAGGTCAGCCGACGGATCTGTTACCCGTGATGTGAACCGCACAGAAGTGTTTAACCTTTAGTTTTTATGTTCTTTGTTTTTTTCAGTTGCCTTAAGAGATTTGTATGGGAGAATAGACACCGATTAAAATGACTCCATTTTGATGCTTGTGTGGCAAACTAATGTTTACATGATGCTTAATGTGCTAACTCAAGAAATGCATAATATTTAGTTAAATGAGTGATTTTTTTTTTTGTATCAATACTTTCTGTTTCTTTCATTCTGAATGTGCCTTTTATACCAAAGAATAAAGAATGTTTCTTAAAGCCTGATGCCGTAGATTCAGTTTGATTTTAGGAGGCATCTGCTGAATGGGTGCCGTCAGAATGAGCATCCAAACAGCTGATAAAAACATCACAGTAATCCACAGCACTCCAGTCCATCAGTTAACATCTGGAGAAGACCAAAGCTGAAATAAAACCAGCAAGACGTTCCATAATAACGCTTCCTCCAGTGAAACAGTACATCTCCTGTTGTCTCTCACAGCAAAATCCAG